GAATGTTGTTTTCTCTTGATCTCGGGGATCTATGGGAATTTGGAAGAACCCGAGTACCCATCGAGAAAAAAAAAGAAGGGGTGGTTTGCAAGCCTCTCTAACATCTGATCAATGAAAGGCAAAGGAAAATGATCCTTTCTAGAGGCTGCATTGAGCTTTCTATAGTCTATACACATTCTGTGTCCTGTGACAGTCCTAGTAGCTATCAGCTCATCCTTCTCGTTTTTAACTACTGTGATCCCACCCTTCTTGGGCACAACATGAACAGGAGACACCCATCTTGAGTCAGAGATTGGGTAAATTATCCCTGCCTCAAGAAGTTTTAGTATCTCCTTCTTAACCACTTCCTTAAGGTTGGGGTTAAGACGTCGTTGATGCTCAATAGAGGACATGGATTGGTCCTCTAGGTGGATCCTGTGGGTGCAAATGTCAGGAGAGATCCCTATAATATCAGCCAAAGAATACCCTATGACTCTCCTGAACTTTCTTATCTCACTAAGCAATGCACTCTCTTGATACTCTAATAAGCTATCATTGATGATTACTGGATATGTGGGGTTTAAGCCCAAGAAAGCATACATGAGCCCTGTTGGTAGAGGCTTGAGCTCAACAGGGGGTGCATCAGCCTCATTCCAATCCTGGTACAAGCTGCTTTGGCTGGTGTCTGATTCTTTGATAGCAAAAACCTCAGAGCCACTTTGTTTCAGCTCCAAAAACCTTGTCTTAGGACCCAGCTCTCTAGCATTGTCCAAATACAACTTGTACCCTTCACTTGCTTCAGCTAAGAGCCCATTGTCTCCTTGTTCTTGAGTTAGAGCAGCTTGAAGAGGATCCTCAGTGTTCAGCTCCTCTAGCAACTCATCAGCCAACTGATCCATTGTCTCCACATAGAAACATTGACCATCAATGGTGGGTTTCTTCATCATCTCATTCACATCAAACTTGAGCTTTTCAGACCCAAGTTGAAGCTCTATTATCCCACCTCTCACATCAATTATAGCTCCTGCAGTTGCCAAGAATGGCCTGCCCAAGATAAGAGGATCAACTGGTTCTTCATCCATTTCCAGCACAAAAAAATCTGTTGGAACCTCAAAACCACCTATCTTAACAGGTAGATCTTCCAACATACCAACAGGCAATCTAACTGATCTATCTGCAAGGATAAGAGAGATCCTTGCTGGTTTGAAGACTCTAAAGCCCAGCTTCTTTGCTATGGAGAATGGCATCAAGCTGACTGATGCTCCTAGATCACAAAGACATCCAGAGAATAGAAGAGGTCCAATGGCACAAGGGAGTGTGAAACTCCCTGGATCAGTTAACTTCCTTGGAATGGACTTCTTCTGAATGATAGCACTGCATTCATGACTTAGTACCACCATGCCTTGAAGCTCTTTTGTCTTGTTCAGAATGGCATCCTTCAAGAACTTGCCCATCTTTGGCATCATTAGAAATGCATCAATCAGAGGCATTGTGAGTGGTGTCTCCTTGAGTGCCTTCTCAAATACAGCTCTTGCCTTGTCCACAAGTTGCTTCTTAAACCTCCCTGGGAATGGGAGCTTGGGTTGGTATGGAGGTGGTGGCGCATATGTCTTCTCTGGTTCAGGTTCCTTTGCTACCTCTTTACCCTTTTCTGTCCTTGGTTTCTCAGCAACCTGATCATCTTTTAAGGCTGCCTCCCCCTCAGTTTGATCATTGTCCTCAATGATCACATTGTTGTTCTCAATACCAGGTAACTCCTTTCCACTCCTCAGTGTAATGGCCTTAGCATATTCTTTGGGGTTGGGTTCTGGTTTTCCAGGTAGGTGACCTTGGTTCCTTGAGCTTGATGCCTGGTTTTGCTTCAGTTCCTTGATTTCCTGCTGCATAGCTGCATTCTGACTTGTAAAGATCTGTTGACCCTGAAGTAGTTGTTGCAGAATACCAACCATATCTTTCCCCATCTGTGGCTGCTGCTGAACCATTAGTGGCTGAAACTGTTGTTGAACCGGCGCCTGCTGTTGGAACTGTGGTGGACCAAACCCTGGTGGTGCCTTTTGTTGTTGCTGTGAGTTGAAACCAGTACCCTGAAATGGTTGTTGTTGCTGACCAAAACCCTGATTCTGAGCAAACTGATTCTTGGGTTGAAAAGACCCTTGAAAATTGTTCTTGGGAACAAAGTTCTGTGGAGCTTGAGAATTGGGATAGACTTGATCTTGTGGGTTAGCTACATTGGTGTTCCTGTAAGAAAGGTTTGGATTGGCATTACCATACTGATATCTCTGGAACCTCTGATTCCCAATGTAGTTAAGCTCCTCTTGGGTAAGACCTTCTTCACTTATGTTCTCAAAGATTTGAGAAGGTTCCTCATACTCTCCAACAAAATGCATTGGCTTCTGAGTGGTGAATTTCAGCTTGTCCAATTCACTTCTCAACTCCTTAACTTCCCTAGTGAGCCTCTGTTCTAAGCTTGAACCTTCAGATCTATTTGATCTGTCATAGTCTTCACCATAAGTATCATTGCTCAATGCTAAGTTCTCCACTAGCTCTAATGCAGCATGTATCTCCTTTCCCAGAAAGTTCCCATTGGAAGCAGTATCCAGCTGGTTTCTAATCTTGGGAAGAGCTCCTCTATATAGTGTGCTGAGAAATGAAGCCTCACTAAACCCATGGTGTGGGCATTGGTTTGTGTAGCTCCTGAATCTCTCATATGCTTCACCAAAACTCTCATTGCTGTGCTGAGTGAAACTAGAGATTTGATTCCTCAGTTTTGCAGTTCTTGAGGTGGAGAAGAACTTAGATAGGAAAGCTTGCTTGCATTGCTCCCAGGTTTGAATGGAGCCTCTTGGAAGATTCTTCTCCCATTGGTGAGTTTTGTCACCAAGACTGAATGGAAATAGTCTTAGCTTGAAGCTGTCCTCTGAAACTCCATTAATCTTGGTCAGGTCACATACTTTATCAAATTGATCCAAGTGTTCCAAGGGATCTTCCATTGCTAATCCATGGAACTTTGAGTTCTGGACCATATTCAACAAGGATGCCTTCACTTCAAAGTTGTTGTTTTGCACAGGTGGTGCCTGACTTCCAGCTCCATACTGATGAGCATTGGCCCTGTCATTCTCTCCAACATAGACTTGTGGTTGCTCATATCTTCTTTGCTGGTGTTGGAAAGGTTGATGTTGGTGGTGCACCTGTTGTCTTTGCTGTGCATTGGCCTGATGCCTCTGCTGATGAACTGGAGCTTGTCCCTGGTGGACATAAGCTTGTTGGTGATGCACCTGTTCCTGATGAACATTACCCTGATTTAACCCTTGACCAACTCCATTACCAGCTCCATTACCAGCTCCATTACCCTGAGCCTGTTGCTCCTGAACTGGTTGTTCTATGTCTACCATGAGCTCTCTTTGTTCCTCCATATCAGCCTGATCAACCTGTCTTCCACGTCTGTCCCTTCTCCTCCTTGGTACCAAAAGATTGATGTTGTCGTTGAGAGGGAAAGGTGGACCACAGCTTCTTGATCTAGACCTGGCGTTCATACACCTGAAATCACAAACATAACTTGAAAGTAATCAGTAAAAACAAGAAAATAAGCACTTGATCTCAAGAACAGATCAGAGCTTAATGCTAAACAAACCACAATTTGGCAACAGCGCCAATTGATAACTAAGAGTTTTCAAGGCTCTTTGTAGAGGTTATCAATCCCCTGTCTTGTAGTACAAGGGGTTTATCAATCCATATGTGGTGTTAGACACTAAACTATGTGATCAGGTTCTTAATTCAAGCAAACAAGAGTGATTTTGATTAACTAATGACAACTACAAACTTAAAAACAGGATTAAAGACTAAAGAAGTGATCAAACAAAGAACTAAACAAATGACAAGTGATGAGAATGCACTACAAGAAATATGCTTATTGATAGCACATTTTAATAGTGTAATATTTGTAACTGCTATTAAATGTCATTTTCGGAATTGGGTACTCTAATATAGCACTTAAAAAATGCTAAAGAGTAAATAATGTGAGCGGGAACAAAAAAAGGCTTTGGCTCGCATAAAACACTTATGCCCGCCAACACTTAGTAAAAATTTCATGTTATAGACAAAACATAACAACATTCTGTCGACTAAAAAAAAAACCATTTTCTCGGGTGAGCAAAAAATAGAAAGTTCTAGGGTTTACGAGAGAAGAGAGTGATCTCAAATTCATCAAGCCGATTAACAATCTGACGCTCTGAAACCCTCATCGTCGGAAATCTCTTTCACCAGTGTCGATTTCGGGTTTAGATCAGGTCATCTTGATTCCTGTTGGAGTTAAGCTCTCGATTTTGGAGATTTCTGGGTTTAGTAGGAAATTTTCGGCGATTGAGGCAGAGTTGTTTGTCAAGTTCAGCGGAAACTAGACGACGCACATGCAAAGGTAACTCCAATTTCACTCTTCATAAACCCTAAATGTAATTCCATCATTCGATTCATTTAATTCTTATACTTGTTTTACTTACTACACTTTCATTCTCATTTCTTCCCTCTTGAGGTTTCGAAGCTGAAGAGAAACTAAAAGACAGCGAGAAGACATCAAATACATAGGCGAACAAAGCTCAATCGTGTCTGATTTCATCGATAATCAAGGTAAATGTAACTCGTTAATCGGTTTAGGGTTTACACAGAATTGATACGAAACTCGTTTATATTGAACTCTACTTTCTCTTCCGGAGTACTTTTAGGGTGTTTGTTTAGGGTTGAGTCGTTTAGCTAACAATTGTTATTAAGGTTGGAGTATACAATGGTGGACAAGGCATGGGTTCACCTATGCATGTATCACTTAATAAACATGTGTTCAGGGTAGATGTGCTTCTATATAGTTTACCTGTATAGTTTTGACTTTTTATATTCATCGACATGCATATGTTGAAGAGCGGATCCTGCATATGAGATTGGTGCTAGGAATTTTGTGCCTGTGCACTGATTGTCGAAACGTAGACCGTCATTCTAAAAATGATGTAGTGGATCACTTGGTCACAAGAGGAATGGATGAGACGTACAAGCTAAGGACTGATTGGTATCATCATGGGGAAGTAAACTGTGGGTCTGACGAAGCAAGGAAAGTGATAAGAGAGTGGAACGAGGAGATTGTAGGGTTGTATCAAGCTGTCGAATACTTGGATGAAGAGTTAGCTAACAAGACGGACTTATGCGATGTTGCTGAAGGTTTAGACAAGAGAGAAGACGAGTTTCTAGCTAAACTTGCTGATGCCGAAACGCCATTGTATCCAAGTTGTGCCAGCCATAGCAAGCTATCAGCAATTGTATCGTTGTTTAGGCTGAAGACTCAGAATGGGTGGTCGGACAAGAGCTTCAACGAGCTGTTAGAGACACTGCCGAGTATGTTGCCGGAGGATAATGTGCTTCACACCTCGTTGTATGACGTGAAGAAGTTCCTCAAGTCTTTCCATATGGGGTACGAGAAGATCCATGCCTGTGTTAATGATTGTTGTCTTTTCAGAAAGGGGTTGAAGAAGTTAGACAACTGTCCCAAGTGCAAGACATCAAGATGGAAGACTAACTTCCAAACCGGTGAACTTAAAAAAGGTGTCCCTCAGAAAGTTTTGAGGTACTTTCTCATCATTCCGAGGCTGAAGAGGATGTTTAGGTCAGAGCAAACTGCTAAGGAGCTACGGTGGCATTTTACTAACAAAAGTAATGATGGAAAGCTGTGTCATCCCGTAGACTCCGTAACATGGGACCAGATGAATTCCAAGTACCCGTTGTTTGCCGCAGAATCAAGGAACATTCGGCTAGGTCTATCTACCAACGGTTTCAATCCATTCAGCATGAAAAATACAAGGTATTCTTGTTGGCCTGTATTGTTGGTGAATTATAATATGGCTCCAGACTTGTGTATGAAGAAGGAGAATATCATGCTTTCCTTGTTGATTCCTGGACCGTATCAACCTGGCAACAGTATAGATGTGTACTTGGAGCCACTGATCGATGACCTCCAACGATTGTGGGACATTGGAGAGCAAACGTATGATGCATTCAGTAAAACCACATTCACAATGAAGGCAATGCTATTGTGGACTATTAGTGACTTACCTGCATATGGAAATCTGGCTGCCTTCAGAGTAAAAGGTAAGATGGGATGTCCATTATGTGGAAAGCATACTGATAGTTTATGGTTACCTAATAGCAGGAAGCATGTTTACATGTGTCATAGAAAGGGATTATCACCCACGCATAGTTACCATGGGAAGAAGGCATGGTTCGATGGAAAAGTTGAATATGGAAGGAAGGGTAGGATTCTAATGGGTCATAACATATCTGTGTTGCTGAAGAATTACAAAAACGAGTTTGGAAATGTTAGACAAGCTGGAAGGAAAAGAAAAAGGGTTATTCCTGCAGAGTCATTAGCTGATAGTGAAGACGAAGAATCTGAATCAGAGGAGGAAGAGGAAGTAGATGAAGAAGAATTATCTAGATGGAAGAAACGATCTATCTTTTTCAATCTTCCTTACTGGGAGGTATGTTATCATTTTACAACTTCATTTATATTTGTTAAATACACTATACATAATTTAAAGACTTTCAGTTAACATGTCTAAATGCAATCCATATGAACTCCCGGTCAGACATAACTTAGACGTTATGCACGTAGAAAGAAATGTTGCAGCGAGCATCATTTCCACCTTGCTGCATTGTGGAAATTCAAAAGACGGTCTTAATGCTCGTAAAGATCTACAAGTCCTTGGTATTAGGAAAGAGTTGTATCCTAAAGCCAGAGGCAAACGAACTTACTTACCTGCAGCACCGTGGACTTTGTCAAAAGAAGAGAAGAGACTATTCTGCAAGCGTCTACATGAGTTCAAAGAACCGGATGGTTATTGCTCCAATATATCCAGGTGCGTATCATTAGAAGAGTCTAAGACAATGGGATTGAAGTCACACGATTACCATGTGCTCATGTAACAACTTTTACCAGTTGCACTTAGAGGTCTTTTACCGAAAGGGCCTAGAATAGCCATTACACGATTATGTGCATTCTTCAACAATCTATGTCAATGTGTTGTTGATAGGGAGAAAATATCAGGAATGGAAAACGAAGTCGTTGAGACTATTTGTATGTTTGAGAGATTTTTCCCACCTAGTTTCTTTGATATAATGGTTCACTTGTGTATACATCTTGGGAGGGAAGCTAAATTAGGTGGACCTGTGCACTTTCGATGGATGTATCCTTTCGAGAGGTAAGTTGTCTATACAAGTTTTTTGATAAGTTTTCTTGCCGCATATTTCATCTTCCATTATCGTTATTCTTGTCTTCTTAATTCCTACCAGACACATGAAACTGTTGAAAGACTACGTCAGGAATCCTGCAAGACCGGAATGATGTATTGCTGAATCATATCTAGCAGAGGAATGTATGCAGTTCTGCAGAGATTTCTTGAGGAAGACCACAAGTGTCGAAGGTAGACAAGAACGAAATACTGAATACGAAAGCACTTCTATACTCGAAGGGCGACCTATTTCTGCTGGGAGGTCTATCACACTTTCTGAAGTGGAAAAGAAAACAGCACACCTAGCTGTCATTCAGAATACCGCACTGGTAGATCCTTATGTAGAGTAAGCTCTAATTTCTTTATTATGCTGCATTCATATTCAGAATTCAGTCTTGATACTAATATATTTCATTGTTGTCTAATGTCACTTTGTAAGCATGCATCTGCAATACCTGCAAGACACAAACCCACGGTGTAGACAAGATGCTACTTTCCTATGGAGTACTCACACTAAAAAATTTTCAGAGTGGCTTAAAAAAAGTGTAAGTAAGCTGTTTCAGTTCCGTATTAATACAAGGTACATTTTAAACGTATTGTTGATTTACTTACTACATTACTTTTTGTCAGATACCACTTGACTCTACGGAACATGATGACACACTTAAGTGGATTTCATATGGTCCACGTAAAATGGCTAGATCATACACTGGTTACGTTTTTAATGGTCTGCGGTTTCACACAACATCAGTTCAGAGACAAACGCAAAACAGTGGAGTATATTATGAAGCAACTGCAATGTGTCGAGCCAGTGCAAGAGACACTTCCCAAATCGTGGATTTGGTTTCTTATTATGGCAGAGTGGTGGACATTATCTTATTAGACTACAACGTATTCTACATACCTCTATTCCGATGTCAATGGGTGGTCAGAGGCAAGGGTGTGAAGGTGGACGAAGGTTTTACGTTGGTCAACTTGAACCAAAGTCAAGTCTCTTTCGCAAGGGATCCATTCATTCTGGCATCTCAAGCTAAGCAAATATTCTATTCCAGAGAGGACGAGTCTTCAAATTGGTATGTGGTTATGAGAGGCCCTTCAAGGAGATACACTGAGGCAGACAGTGATGAGGCAGATGCTGGGCCATTACCATTGAGTGTTGACATGAACGTAGAAGATGTTGACGCTGAAGACCAACCTGCAAGGGTTGATTGTGAAGGAATATACGTTTAGGACATATACGTATTACCTATTGCGTAGTTAGAGTCGTTGCTTTCGGTTTAGTGTCTATGCTTGACTATATGGAATATGGTGGTCTGAATTTTTCACTGATGGGTTGTATTGAGTGTTTCAGGTGATAAAGTATGGGTCGACCAAAGGGAAAGAATAGAAAAAGGAAGAATTTATCTGAGGAGCCAGAATTTATTGGGACAGTATATCCGGAAAGTATGCATGATGGAGGAGAAGACAATGCAGCCGGAAATGATCAACCTGATGAAGTCATGAACGAGGCTGTGCAGACGCAGATTAATGATGAGACGCAGAGTCCAGAACATAGAGTGGCTCTCAGGAACCAGATCTAAATGATGGATTACCGAATGTTGATGAGGATGCATTCAATGAACATGCATTCATGAATGATGAAACGCCGGCGCCTGAATCAGAAGGGACTACAGCTCCAAACAAGCCTAAACGATCTAGAGGTCCAACAAGGATGAAAGACATCGCAAGAGATCCTAACAGTCGCATAAAGGTTGAATTCAATAGCATGGGAGAACCGTATGGATCAGGATCGGTTAAGCTGTCATCTTACCTTGGGCCCTTGGTGCGTGAACACGTCCCTGTCATTATTGAAGATTGGAGGAAGATTGGTGAAGAACGTAGAACAGTTCTATGGAAATCTGTACAGGTAGACCCATTTTAATTTAGAATAAGGTAAGTATTATGGACTTGTTTTTTATTGTTTGATTTGGAATTTATTGTAGGCAAGGTTCGAATTAGATTAGGAGTATCACAAGATGGCTGTCATCAAGCAAATGGGTTGTATATGGAGGGCCTCAAAGTCGAGGCTAGTCAGCCAGATCAAGAGTTGTAAGAATAACGCAGAAAGATTGAAGCTTCGCCCAAAGAATATTCCACCGACAGAATGGCGCAAATTTGTGAAGGCTAAAACTAGTGCAGCATTTGAGGTAATCACGTAGCCCTCACTTTACTTCCATATACAGATAACTGAATTTTCGTTTTCAGGAACTAAGTGACACATATAAAGAAAGAAGGCGAAACCAGATTCCTCATACTTGCAGTCGAAAGGGGATGGTCAGACTGGCTGAAGAGATGGTAATATTCCGTATGTGTAATACTGATGCAACTATATGCAAATAACTAACATTGCCACCTATTTTCAGAAAAAGAGAGCTCTGAACCGTCTGAAGTAACTAGACTACAGGTATGGGTTAAGTCTCGAACAAAGAAGGATGGCACTGCAGTCAATACAAATGCAGCCGAGAAGATCGTAAGTAATTAACAATAACTAGTTGGTTTATTTTTAAAAGTTGATGAATACTGGCGTATCTTGGCTGATGTCGAAAGTGTGTGTACAGAAAAAGGCAGCTGAACTTGTTGAAACGGTTTCTCCCTCTTCGACGTCCACAAATCCCAAAGAAGATCTCCATTCTCAGCTACTTGGGCCTGATAATCCCGACCGTTTGAGAGCGATGGGTAGAGGGATGAGTCAAACCAAGTTAGCATGCTTCCAGATGAAAACCAAGTTTATGGATGATATGAAACGAGACCAACTAAGATTGATTCAGCAGGTCCATGATTTAGAGGAAGCACTGTCAAAAATACAGAACCAGGTAAGCGAGTATTTCATGTCTGGTGATAGTAACTCTGAATTTTACATTGTTATTATATTAACTTAGGTTGTTATTTCAAATTACATTTTTCAGAAACAAGAAGCTGAAGTCGGAGAGAATTCTGCGCCAAGAGTAAACTCTTGTTTTGTCTTATTTAGCATTTAAAATATATATCATATGTTTACATCTGTTTTTACAATTCACCATTAACGTTTGCAGAGTGTCAACATGAAATTACAAATGAAGTGTCTGTTATTCGACTGGGCTGGAACGGATGAAAAAGTTGGTGAAGGACGTATTTTGTCTGAAGAGCCTGAGGAATTTGTCAACAGTATACCCTTAGGCCCAAACTCGTACAAAGTTTTGGTGGAAACAGCGATTAAGCCAGAAGCTTATCTTTGGAGACCTGCTCGCAACGTCTTTAATATGGAGCAAGCAGTTGGAGAGATGATTGCATGGCCTCAAAGTTTTGTGGTTCCCTTTAGCAGCGGATGTGAACCAGAAGACATTACGCCTCTGGTAAATATTCTTTCAGTACGGAATATTATAGTTGAGTTTATAGTAAAAGTAAAACTGTGCAATGCTTGACAATGGTTTCATTTGTTTACTGCTTCACAGAGTCCTAATACTAGCTCTCGGAACTTCTGCAAGCTGCTTGACTGGGCTAGAACTAACGAGGAAGTTGTTGCAGAGGGTCGTTGGCATTCTCGAGAGCCAAAAGCATTAGTCAACGGACTACCTCTCAGACCTAATGCAGTGAAGGTATTCGTCGATGTGGTTTTATGCCCAAATACCTTCCTCTGGAGGCCAACGACTGAGTTCTTAGATTTGGAGAATTCAGTCAACACCTTTGTCGCCTGGCCTGCTAATAGAGTAATCTTTGAGGCAAGTCCTGAAACGAGTTCTCCTATTGCTAACTCTGAATCAACTCCACCAGCTCCAATAAAAGAATTAATGAAAGCAATGTCAGAAAGTTCTACTCCTATAACTCAGGTAGGTTTCCTTACTAAACTTTCATTTGTTTTGTTTGTTTGGATTTGTTGATTTCGTGTATAGCTATATATTCAAAATGTCTTCGCTACAGGAATCCAACCAAATGGAAACGGGGAATGAAAATAAGAAGTGCTTGGTGATGGCTATTACTGGAAAGAAGCGAGTGATTGCTGAAGGACGTTGGTCCACAAACAATCCACTTCAAACAGTACATTTTGTTCCCTTGGGTCCAAATGCAGTTAAGGTGTGGATTGATGTTGTCAAAGTTAAAGATGCTTGCGTATGGAGGCCTTCGTCTGAGATCGAGTGCATGGAAGATGCAATAGGAACAGCTATTGCTTGGCCAGAGGATAAAGTGGTACTCGTCTAAATGCAGTAGTCATCTGATACTTTAGTTTTTATCTTCTCTGAACTTAAGGATGGTTTCGTTGAAGACATAACCTGATATGTGTTTATGGTTTTCTTTGTTGGAAATGCTTGTATGGTTCTGAAACATTAACCAGTACTCAGTTCTTCTATATGGAAAAGCAGATGCATTTCAATTTTTGTTTACCAGGTTTTGATATTTAGTAAGTGCATTTCTTGAGGTTTTGGATATATCGTATTTGGTTTAAAAAAACCTACATCGCCAAATTCAATAGCACGTAAGAACAGCTCCAACACTAAACAATACAGCGTGAAAAAATAGCTACAGTATATGATGTTGGAGCTAAAATATAATGCTACGACTCAACTAACAACAGCAATGAATTTCTCTTATAGTAAACTAGAATGTAGCTATAAAACCACGCTACTATAAAGGTGTCAATAACACAAAAATAAAGCTACAACATTTAATAATACAGCGTCTAATTTGTGCTACCGTATCATTTATAATAACATCATAACAATGCTATTATATATATGAATATAATAACACTTTCCATAAACGCTATATTAAGGGGTGTACCCTATTATAGCTCCGGCAGATACAGCGTTTATGAAAACGCTATGAAAGTACTTTCATAGCGTTATTCGTATGCTATGAATGTACATATTTCTTGTAGTGATGTATGTATGATGATGAGAAAGGTCTTAGACATGATAGTGGATTAGGGTGCCTTCAGTGATAAACTAATGAGCTAATGAATCACATGATCAAGCAAACCATTCAACATAAACATCTTTAGTTAAGTTAATCCTCTCATGAAGGTATTAACTCCTATGCTAAAACAGTTTCTAACCCAATCATCATCAGTGAAACATGAGTTAACAAGCATTAAGAATCA